ATTAGAGTATCTTAGTTAGGAGTCGTTTAAATTGGTTAATAAAAAATACTTCGTACTATTGAATTTAGATCAGAGTTCATACACTTGTAAAATTAAAATTTGTTTGATCTTACATCTCAAACACATTTTAACAACATAATTTTTTAAACTTTCTAATTTGTATCGCATAAACTGCCATATAATTTCCTATCGGAAAACTAGAAAAAACATTAAATAAAATTTAAAAAAAAATGATAAAACTAATAATAAATATTAGAGGCTAATCTAAAAAAAATTAAGACCTGTTTTGATTTATAAATTGAGTTGAACTGAAATGAACAGAAATTAAGCTGAAGAGAACAAGTTCTTAGATGTTTAATGAAAAATTTACTATATACATTCTAGAAAAATCTTGAATGTAGTAGAAAACTCAAGAGATGTTGTATCAATAATGATTTTCTAAAATATCAAAGATGTGTGATATAAAGATATCTAGAATTATGTAATACTCTTATTAAACAAATGTAAATTAATCTAGATAAAGGGAACAAGTACTATAAATAAAAAAAAACTCCATATATTATTGATAGAAATTAAAGGTTCTATAAGGTGGTGAAAGACTTGAGCTCTTACAAATTAGATAATATGTGTAAGTAAGTCCCCATCAAACACATTGTTATACACTTTATAAAGAAATTTATGAAATCATTACAAATAAACTGAGTGTAAGCTGATTACAGTACCATAAATGACGACACGAAAACAACATGATCGATAAGAAACCAAAAAATAATGAATTGCAATTGAATACCCTGATAGTTGATGACTTCGATTTTGACGGAATGACGGGTGGTGATAATTAGTAAACGGTGGAGTTTTTTTTAAATTCTATCATTCCACTATTCTATTAAATCCCATTTAGATTATTTTATCATTTTCCTCTTAACTTTAAACCCAATTTAAATTATTTTTATTTCTCTTTTACTTTAACGCTCATTTAAATAATAAGTAAATTATTACCTCATTCATAATATTATATTATATTAGTCTCGTAAAAGGTGCACCGTGTATTAAATGATATGAGTTAATCACCCAATAAATGAGACTCAAACAACAGTAATATCATGCCACCAAAGAATTAATAAAAAATAAAGATGAAATGTAATGGTATCACTAAAAATAAAAATTTTGATGACGGATTTAAAATCATGTTCACTATTTGCCTTTAATTTTGGGCATTTACTGTGACGTTGAAAAAAAGAAATGTACCGGTGGTGTTAACTCCAATTTTTGCAATTCTTTGTTGAGAAGCAAGTGAATGAAAATTCAAAGAATGGTTGATCAATATTCGGAAGGCGTAGCGGTAGATTCACCGGAGGAAGGTAGGATATTCAAAAACATCATTTCTCAATTTGTTTAAGTAGATATTTGGTGGGAAAAAAGTTTTTTGATTTATATGTTTCTCAATTTTTATAATTTTGTAACTTATATAAAACAAATTTAATTCAATACTTTACCACATCCCAAGCCTCAAATTACATGTATAATTTAACTTTTTACTATTTTATAAAACAAATATATACTCGGTACAAATATATTCATTATTTTTTTTGGAAAATTTGATTCTAATAATCCAACCTTTGCGCATGGTCTTATTTTATTAATCCGACTTTTCGATTTTCCTCAATAATCCAAGGTTTGGGGATGTCTTAGTCTATTAGGACAAACTGGTTACTTGACCTAAAATTGTAGGTCATCTGCCACATGTTGAATTTCTATTTGTCTGATTTTTTATAATTATTTTTTTTTTACAATTTTTTTTTCCTTTCTTCTTCCTCCCTTCCAAGTTCCAACCTCCAAGAATGCAGCACCACCACCCCTTCCCCTAAAAAATCCAACCACCACCACCACTCCCTCCCCTCCAAAAACCGACCACCACACCTTCCCCTCAGAAATCTGACCACCCCATCCCTTTGTTGGGGATTTTGTGTTTAACAAGGGTCACAAAGAAAACAAATGAAATAAACTGGTAAAATCTTCGAGGCATGAACGGGATCACTTTCCCAAAAGTATAATTCCAACCCTATACTACAACCGGGTTTCACGGAAATTTACTTAGGAGATACAACAAAGAACAATTGCAATCACAAGTAGGATGATTACAATTCAATGTATAAAAGCTTTTGGATTTATGATGATGATAAAAATATTGCAATTGATTTTCTCAAGAAAGAAAAGTAAAGAAAACAACTTTTCCTCTTCAAAAAGATACTGACACATATGTTCCTATGAACATATTTATATCAAAACAAAAGAAACCAAAAGCCACAAAGAAAAACTGCCATCAACGATTACAAATAACCGTCATTGAACAACCAGCCTACACACGCGCCCGATCGAGCTGCTGCCGCTCGATCGGGCGGATTGGAGTGACGGAAATGGGTTGCTCTCGCGCCCTATCAGGCGGTGGTGGCTCGATCGAGCGAGAAACCCAGCAATTTGCATCACTGTTCTCGCGCCCTATCGGGCGGTGGCTGCCCGATCGGCCCGGGCGGCTGAGAAGGTTTTCAGATACACCCTCTTGCGCCCGGTCGGGCGACTGACCGGGCACATTGAGGGCTGCAAATCAAGCTTAGCTTCTTTCGTAAGCCATCCTTCCTTCACCATTGTTCTTATTTTCTTTTGCTTTAATATTCTTATATAATTAAATTACATCACCTTTGCCTAAGTAAATTAATTATTAACTTGTCATTTTGTCTCCAATTCTCAAAATTATTCAACAATCCTCCCCCATTTTGAGAATTAAACTAGACTCATTGCAAAAACATCATCATCACAAAACAATCTTATGCATAAATGAAAGTGTACATAGACTTGAACTCTCACTTAGTGCAATATACAATTCAAGAATCCGTATCCATTTGGTATCGTAAAACGTTTGAACCAAAAGCAACACATTTGGAAACTTGAAGATATTACACACACAAGATTAATTACTTAAATACATATTAGCTTGACACTATAAGCCATGTGTCCATATCTATTCATAAGTACATCAAAGCTATGCCCTAATAGCTTCTTGAAGCGGCTAAACTTCGTACTTATATAGGTAGACTTCCAAACATGCTCCTGTGCCGAGCAATATATCAGGAATTCTATTAAGTTAAAACAACCTCTTTTCATCACAGTAAAACCGGAACTTAACCTTGGATGAATAAACAAGTTCCCAATCATCAAATAAGAGAATTGATCTCATTGAACTTAAGACCCAACGTCTTATTGGGCGTTAAGTTGAGATTCTCCTAATTGTGATTACAATGGGGCTCCAATCTAAAATGATTGTCATCCTTTTATTAACATCTCTAACCCATGCTTTTTAAAGCAACTAGCGAGATAAAACTTCGTACGAAAATAAACAATAGTTTTTACACTATCCTTATTAAGTCCTTGAATGTAATAATACCTTACACCAATATTTCTTAACTCACCATATTATAGACTTGGCTATATGCCTTAGCCAAAAATTACATTGTTTTCACAATCCATCACTATTAGTGATATTGGCTTTTGCAACAAAGAAATCTCATCATGCATTAAAACCCTCAACCATTCTACTTCTTTACCAGCGGAATGTAATGCAATGAGCTCCAATGTCTTATACAAAGCACAATGCAAGTTAATTTGCTTCTTTGATGCCCATTACATGACACCTCCCCCATATGGAAATACCCATCCACTTGTGAATGAACAATCACTATTTGAGATCCAACTTGCATCCGAATATCCTTCAATGACCGAAGGATACCCATTAAACCACAAGCCATAATCCATGATTTTCAACAAGTACTACAACAAACAATAAACCGTTTGCCAACATAGCAATAACATAGCATTCTCTAGTGAGCCTATTCAATTGACCAATCACATAAGCGATATTCGCCCACTTACATAGTTTTTGTTTGATACATGCATATATACCCTTTTGTAACCAAGAGTATAAACTCATAATCACAAAGAGATTATCATTATCCATATAACTTGAATAAATTTCACAAACAATATCAACAAACACTTAATTGTACTGCTATCACCATAGAGGCATAAAATAACATCAATAATTAAATTAAACATTGATATAATCAATTACAATAATTTCAAAACAAATTCCCCATGTCATAGACCATGACACTTATTGCATACCTTTATTCTATTTCACCATAGAAAATTCATTATTATTAATTAATCAACCATTCTTAACATATAACTCATAACCCTCTAAAACAAGGTATTATATATTCATGATTAATTCACTATAACTACAACACAATTTATCATTGCAGTTTCATTATTCTATTATACCATAGAATAATAACTTGAATCAAATTAATCATTAATTTAACATATGTCATTAACTTTTATATCAAGACAACAAGGCATTAATAAACCTAATAATTATAACATATTAATCACAAGACTATACTTGCCATGATATACAATACCATCACATCACAAAGTGACATATACCTTTGTCAATAATTAAATGACTACTTGATTTAATTCATGCATGTAAACATACAATCACAAAACCGAAAACAAGGCCATTCAACCTTTCATGAATAAGTACCATGAGTAACACATTATTAGACCATACATTATTCATCATACATGAGTAACTGCTATAAATAATTGCCATAAATGAAACAACATCATTTAGGCCATACAAAGTACAAACCATCAATTGACAACCCATCACCCATGTAACAAGATGAAATAATACATACTTTGTATAACAAATAATCATGGCTATTAAACCGTCCATCTATAGCAAGAATTAACCTACTAGCAAATATATTAACAATACCCAGAAAAACATCTTAAGTATTTTATTATCAATGTAAAAATAAACAGTAATTCACACCCATTTCATGAACTATAATAATACTTAGTTCATCCATTAACAATGTCAAATTACATGGTTTTAACCAACCATCATGATTTTAACAATCATTTTTAATGGGTATAATTACAAGACAACATATCTCTAATAATAATCAAGACATAATCTATAAACTTAGATTAATTAAACATGTCAAGAATTAACCATAGAGATAAATAATCAAACATATAAATATATATTAATCACAAATAAGAAACCTCTTACTTGAATGGAGTGACTTTAATCATATAACTGACTAGAGAAAACCTTCCATCAAACCATTTTCTTTGTAATTCCACAAGAAATATCACCATCTTCGTTTCCATCTCCATACCAAGATCTTCACCCTCGAACTTGTTCAATTTCTGGAAATTCGTCATCATACCCTTCACATTTGCCATCTTTGTAGAAATTATACTTTTGGATTGTTGGGGATTTTGTGTTTAACAAGGGTCACAAAGAAAGCAAATGAAATCACAAGTATAATTTCAACCCTATACTACAACCCTATACTACAACCGGATTTTCGAGGCGTGAACGAGATCACTTTCCCAAAAGTATAATTTCAACCCTATACTACAACCGGATTTTCGAGGCGTGAACGGGATCACTTTCCCAAAAGTATAATTTCAACCCTATACTACAACCGGGTTTCACGGAAATTTACTTAGGAGATACAACGAAGAACAATTGCAATCACAAGTAGGATGATTACAATTCAATGTATAAAAGCTTTTGGATTTATGATGATGATAAAAATATTGCAATTGTTTTTCTCAAGAAAGAAAAGTAAAGAAAACAACTTTTCCTCTTCAAAAAGATACTGACACATATGTTCCTATGAACATATTTATATCAAAACAAAAGAAACCAAAAGCCACAAAGAAAAACTGCCATCAACGATTACAAATAACCGTCATTGAACAACCAGCCTACACATGCGCTCGATCGGGCTGCTGCCGCTCGATCGGGCGGATTGGAGTGACGGAAATGGGTTGCTCTCGCGCCCTATCGGGCGGTGGTGGCCCGATCGAGCGAGAAACCCAGCAATTTGCATCATTGTTCTCGCGCCCTATCGGGCGGTGGATGCCCGATCGGCCCGGGCGGCTGAGAAGGTTTTCAGATACACCCTCTTGCGCCCAGTCGGGCGGCTGACCGGGCACATAAAGGGCTGCAAATCAAGATTAGCTTCTTTCGTAAGCCATCCTTCCTTCACCATTGTTCTTATTTTCTTTTGCTTTAATATTCTTATATAATTAAATTACATCACCTTTGCCTAAGTAAATTAATTATTAACTTGTCATTTTGTCTCCAATTCTCAAAATTATTCAACCTTTGCCTATAAAATCCGACCATCATTACCCCTCCCCTCATAAAGCCGACCACCCATAGCCCCTCCCCTCCAAAATCCGACCACCCATAGCCGATCCCTTTTAAAATTCGACCACCCTAACCCCCTCTCTAAAAAATTCGACCACCCTAAGACCTCCATCCTGAAATTCGTGGGCCATGGAGGGGTTCGTCGGGATGGGAAAAAGGATTCTGGGTGGGATCGTGGGATGGAATGGTTTCGCCGACTCCATGTTGGTTCCGACGTGGTCGGTCGTCGGAAAGGGGGATGCTGGCAGGGGGAGGGGAAGGAGTGGGGGTGGCTGGGGGAAGGTGGGTCGTGGCCGGGTGGTTGGTGGTTGATTTTATTATTATTATTATTATTTTCTGTTTTTGCTTAAAATCTTTTTTTTTGTTAAAAAAAATTTAAAATTAAAAAAAAAAAAAAAGTTACCTGAACAACAAGTAGCAGGTCAGTTTGGCCTAATAGACTGAGACACCCCCAAAGCTTGGATTATTTTTTTTATTATTTTTATTTTACTATTATTAAAGTGAATTTAGATTATAAATATTACCAATTTAATTTTTTATTACATAACTTTCAACTCTATGTTAAACTGCATCACATAATAAATTTCATTTGTTTATAGGCTCTATAATTGTTGCCTTGTTGGGCAATGGGGTGAAGGCGTGAAGCTTTTTTACACAAAAGGTTTTGCGAGACACAAAAGGTTTTATTCCATCACATTGTAATAAACTGCTTAAACTTCATATGCCCATTATTGGAGAGGTGAAGTAGATCAGGTCAAATTTGAAAATCCGCACAGAGAACAAGTAGACATGCACACCGAGCTTTGTTTCAAATGACATAAAGTGACATCCGGCTATGTGACGCTCACATGTTTGATATGAGCGGCTGTCTCATAGTCATTGCCTTGATAGCATTCAACATAATTTGGCACAACGTATAGCTCGACTCAAATTAATGTCAAATTATATTACAGAGTTATAAAATTTGAAAGTAGTATATTAATTTTGAACTAGGTGTGATGTTATTTCTAACTAAGGATTTTTGTTTTGTTTTTTTTTTTTTTTTTAGGCTTTTCTAACTAATGATTTAAAGTAACAAATCATGTTCTAATTACTAATATATACCATATTTAACACCGAGTAGGAAACGGAAGCACATTTCGTATAAAAATTATAATAGAATTTTAGGGGGCGTTTGGTTCGAAAAATGGAAAAGGAGTGGAAAGGAAATAAATAAGAGGGTAAAAGCTATTACCTTTTCATTTGTTTGGTTTAACCATGATAAGAGTATTTGTTAAGAGAAGGGTAAGGGTATTTGTTACTCCAAGTTTTTAAGAGGTAACAAATGAGGGGTAACCATTACCTAAATAATTGTTACCATTCATTCAAACCAAACACACAATAACGATATCGGTTAAATTAAATCCGTTTTCAATCCAAAATATACACTAACCAGACATTCGAAAATATTTGATTAAAATTTAGAACTCATACACTCGTTAAAGCTATGATGTAATAATTGTCATAGTGGGGAATTTCTCATGATTTCAATTGCTTTTACTGCTTTTATCCAACAAAGTTTACATTTTGCCTCATGAATTAAGAACCATACATTATGATGTAACTTAATCAATACAACACTTCCCCACAACTCAAGACAACTTTCCCTTACTCTAGCTTCCTCCCTTGGCAAAATGTGATATAAATTGATACAAAAAAACTGGATCATCATATTCATACATTATATTCAATGATCAAAATTTGTAAGGACCAATATTGGCTGATTTTAGTTTCCAAATCTTGATAGAAGTCGTAACACTCGAATCAGTAGCATTGTTGAAGACGAAAACTCGTGCCATCCCGTTGATTGCCTTTGTTGGGTATATTCTAGAGGCTATACATGTCCTCCCTCCTTGCCCAAAGGCTTCTACTATTGAATGATCAACCTAACAATATAATTTAAAACAATTAGATAGTTCAAAACCACCATGTAATTCATGGCCTTATTCAATATTATAAACGCGATTTCAATGTCGTATAACCACCTTATAAGTTTACCAAGTTTAAGTAGGAAGAGGTCAACTTACAAGTAATCGCATGCTGTATTTTTCACCCTCTAGAACTGGTACCGACCCTCCATAGATCTGCTTGTCTACACCGGAAGCCTTAGATGACCTACACCGCGAAATGATAGTAATAAAATTAATGAATTGATTGTTAAATTACATGAGCAGTTGTATTTGGTGTAGCATGAGAAATTTGACATGATTTCAATCCGTATATACATCGAGCACATGCTTTTAAGTGCACCTAATAAACTCAGGTAAATAAAACGCGCCTAATAAGAAGATACGTACGTACCTTGATTGATCAGTGCAGAACCAATTCTTAACAGATCCATCAGAAGCCTTAGCAATGTAGAAGTAAACAGGAGTGAACTCAGAAAGAGATTCATCAGCCAAAACCAAAAGCCCAAATGGACCCAAAGCCTGTCTAACAGCTGCAGCACTGCAGTTGTTGATCACATCATTTCCTACTGTTGATTTCAAAGCCTCTTGATCTACCAAAAATTCAGCACTTACATCCAACTATCATCATCATCAAAAACAAGGGTTGCTCAAAGTTAGTTAAAGTTTCCATCTTTGATCAAAGGTTTCGAGTTTTCGATGTTATAATTACAGTTGAGAAAAATAATGTAAGTAACATTGTACAAGAAGAAATGTACCTGTGCAGCAGAGGTTATGTTAAGGTTAATGGTAGATCCTGGTTGTAACACAAGGTTATCATACACTGTGTCGTCTGTTCTCAAGGATTCTATTTCCTTTACTGGCCATTGAATAATGTTGGTTCCAGTCTTTGAATCATAGGTTACAACCCTTGGAACTGTCTGAAAATTTTTCAAATAAGTGTAGGATTCTAGTCAAACTTTCGGAAATAGAGGAAGTATATTTCATAAGAATTACTTCAAAGAAAATCTATCATTTTCAATATAATTATAAACTTATCATAAATCTAAGTATAATATTATGATTTAAAATTTTAACGACTAACAAAATGTTAACGATTATACCTTGTCAAGCGTAAAATTTTAAATGTTCAAATATATTGTAGAAGTATAATAAAAGAAGGGTGGAATTTTTGTGTGATAGAGTAACAGGGGTTGCCTATGTCACCACAGTGACATTGGCTTTACTGTTTCATTTCTTTGCTTGATAAGCATCACAGCTGTACATTTAATTTGCTTTACATAATACTACTATTGCTCACATGAATCATGAGTAAACAAAAGTAGGTCTAAAATACATGATCCTCCATAATCAAAATCTAATAAATGTGATTGCAGTTATATTTGAAAGGGTTAGGTTCAACAACTTTTGCTACAAATATTAATATGCATTATTTTCCACATATTATTAAGTGTATTTCTCAAGAGGTGATAGTTAGGTTATTTTAAATATGATAATGAGTCATTTAGTTGGTTTTAATTAGGTCTATTCAGACTATATTCAAACTTATTAATTACTTCGTATTCATTAGCTACTCATGAAATATACAATCCTTTTATACATTAGTCAATATATAATGCGGAGTATTTAGGTGTATCGATTTCAATTCAGAATGAATAAAGTTATATAAAAAGTCGAACATAGATAGGTAAGATAATCGGACACGAGTATCTAAAATGATCATGTAAATATGCATATGGCAAGAGCACATGCAAGATAAAGGAGTAGTAAGTGTGGTACCTGCAAAGAAGCCCATCCCTTCAACAAATCATCAGCCTCAGTATCAGTCTCTCCAACCCAACCCCACAAAATCCTCCTCTGCATCTTCTGGTCAAAGAATGACTTTGATGCATAATACTTCCCATAATCCAATCTCAATCCACGACCCACATCCATTTCCGGGTTATCGGGTGTCCAAGTTTGAGTATCCATATCATATGTACCCAATGCATAATAATCCTGCTTATTATCATCCAAACTAGCCTTTAAAAAATGCTTCAAACCCGGCCCATAAGCCGAGGTATCAAGCCCGTTTTGGCCCGTGGTCGACACCGGGAAAAAATCAACACATTCCCACATACCCGTATCCGGCACCCCATGTAGGTTACCCTCAAGTTCATAAGACTTAAAATCCTTAGTCTTATAAACTAGTGAAATACCGGTTTTACCCTTTTTCGACCCAATTATGAACCTCCATACTCCATTGGGTCCCAACCACGCAGTAGTCGGGTCCCTAAAGTCCTTAGCCCCAATACCCTCGGGCGGGGTCAAAACAGGATTCCCAGAATATTTGACCCAATCAAGGAGAAGGGGATCAGATAAGTTGGCAGGGTAGGCTAGATTTTGGACTTGCACAAATTGATCAGTATCACCAGTGTAAAGCATCATGATGTTGCCATCTGGCAAAAATGTAGCTGAACCTGTCCATACACCGTTGATGTCATACCATTGATCAGGTACCATGGAAATTGGGAGGTATTTCCAGTGAATCAGGTCTGTTGAAACTGCATGTCCCCATGTAATGTTGCCCCAAACAGCTGAATCTGGATTGTATTGGTAAAATAGATGGTAGTATCCTTTGTGATACAATGGACCTGAAATACATGATACGGGTTGTTCGTTTTAGTATATGATAATAGGATGTCGTAATAACGTTGTTTGATTGACAAAAGAAATTTCACTTACGTAAAGAATCTAGACAAACAATTTCTTTCTTGAGATACGCAATTTGCTAACAAAAAGCCACGTAGTACAGAGTAATATAGGATAATAAAATGTCGTAAAAAAGTTATTAGATTGATAGAAGAAATTTCACTTCTGTAATGAATCTAGGCAAACAATTTCTTTCCTAAGAAACGCAATTTGCTAACTAAACGCATACATAGTAGTAATTTTTTTTTTTCCTGTGCTCCTTTTGAGACTTTTATTAAATTAAACATGCTATGCATGAATCACATAATTATAAAATTAATAATACAAGGAGTAGATGGCAATTATTAGAAGTCAAAATTATTGATGATTATAGAATCTATGGCAGGGAAATTAAGCCATGTGAATAACATTTCAAAGTTGTGAAGTTCTGTCCCTTTCATTTTATATCTGTAGTAAGATCAGTGATAAGTTTCTATTACTGATAATTCAATGCTATGTCCTCTAGTTACCACATAACATATCCATGTACTAACATATACCATGAAGATTATAAGAGAGAAGTAATAATAATATTTCACAAACATAAGATTATGCCAAACAATAGTCAAGAGATATGTATTGTCACAAAAATATAAAATCTAAATACCAAATACTCCTTAAATACTTATTGTTTTTTCTCTCCATGTCAATCAAAGTGCTTATTTAAGAAATATGGAAATAGCAAAGAGAAATTAATGCGTACCGTGTAGTAGATGAAATTAGGTTATCTACACAATCTAATTCCTAACTAATATAATAGCATGGATATATCGGATTATAATTATATCCCCTTTTTTCTAATCTAATCTTTAAATTTTAGTTTTTTTGCAGTATATAATTTATATATATAAAAGGAAAAAAAAAATATATATGTATGTGACTATGTGGTAATGTATAATGCAGAGTTCTAGTGTTCTCCATTCTATGATCATTAAATCCAGTCCAACCAACTGGTAAGGAAAACAAGTAGGGTCCCAAACCTCCTAACTTTTAGCAGAAAAAATTAAATAAGCTAACCATCACATTTTTTTAATTTTTTTTTTATTGGTCCACAACTTTAATAGCAAAAAAATATAAATAAAAAAAGACACAAAGTTATTTAACCTTAAAAAAAATTAAAAAATCAGTAGAGAGTGTACTTAACCCTTGATTGTATTTCTTTTGTGATAGATTTGCACTTTATGCCTATTTATTTGGCATTACAACTTAAGTCAAGAAAGTTATAATTGGATCTTAGCCCTACATTATAAACATGAATCATGCCAAAAAGCCATTATGATGATGTTTCCACACTACATCATGTATTCTTTATAAATAATGTCTCATGTTAATTTGTATGTTTAGAGTATTCTATTAATTACTTCTAATTTTCTTTTAAGTTTAGTTTCACATCTGCTGTTCTAAAGTGTTTTACTATTTGTATAATTTTCTATGTTAATACGTGCACATTTGATCGAGAAAATTTCAACCTATAATACTGCAAGTTATCAATGACTATAATCATGCTTGCTGGTTTAAATTGTCTTTAAATATTATCATCTTATTACCAAGCACAACTTTTTATCGACAACCATTTTTATAGTCATTGATGACTAAACTATTGTAGGTTTGAGAAATATTTGATACAAACATAAAATTGAAGTGTTTTTATTCTCAATTTGTATTAGCAATAAAAAAACATAGAGGATCCATATTGCTAATAAGTTTGCTATATAATGGTCCCCAAAAATATATTTAAAATGACCTATAAACTAACAGTATATTTTACTCAAAGTTGAACTTAAATTAAAAAAAAAAATAAAAAAATAATGACAAGATTCCAATTTAATTACTATAAAACGAAAAGATACACTTGCTAATAGTACAAAGATCGCTAGGATTAGTACATCATGATTAGATGTTTTGTCTAATTTTCCACGTAAATTATCATAATAAATCTAAGCTTACTTGTGGAAAAGAGCTTTAATAATTGGGCCAAATCATGTTATGGAAGAATAGTGATGTGTTTGGAACCACACTTTTTTTTTTTTTTTTTTTTTTTTTGATTTGATGGAAGAACACTGTACAATAGAAAAATAATACTAGTAATAAAAACTAATAATAGTGGGTAAGATTAGGTGAATTTTAATCATGTGAATCTTATGGCTTATTAATTGGCTAGTAAACTACTACTTAGGTCGTGGGACATGTGATTAAACATAAAGTGATTTTTTTACAGTTCAAGTCTATTTTCAATTGAACTGACTAGTATGAGTGTATGATCATAACCCCTTGATGTACTAGCTAAGTACAGTTCTTAAATATTTTTTATTGTAAATAGTTCTTATGTAAAAGTTTTACCCATTATTAACATCCTAAATGACTTTATACACTTGCCTAATTATCCTTGATTACTTGACTAATAAGATATATATAGGAAGTATATTTTTTTAACCACGCCGTTGATGACCTTATTTATAAGTGAAAATGTAGCTTTTTTGTCCTAATTCAACCAATAAGGAAAATTATATATATATATATATATATATATATATATATATATATATATATATCATTTATTTTTATTGTTTACTTTGTATAAACGTGGAAGAATAATAAAACCATAACATATACGCGTACTAGATACAAATTACGTACTACATCCATAAACGACAAGCATCTTCAAAACCCTAATTAGATAACCGTTAGCTAGTTAAATGCCTACTTTGGCCAAATCTAAATGAACTATAAGGACATAATTACGTATTTTACTACACTTTAAATGAGTTACGTAAATCATTCTTGTAGAAAAATAAATATGAAATAACAAACAAATATAGAGATTAATAGGTCAATAAATTTTTTACTCTGTAGATCATTTCCTACATTGTAATCCTATTCCATTTCACATGTTTATCACATTGATATACTGTACATTGGAGTACTTTGACAAATATGTGGATATCAATACACCCAAAAAAATTAAATTAAACCCAATATTTAATTATTTATGTCACCAAAAATAATTAGTAATGTAAGCAAATAACTTGTTCAAAGAGAATAAAAACTCACCATTAGGATCTGAATTACGTACGCCATCAATAATTCCACATCACCCAAAAAAAAAAACAAATTAAAAAAAATTAATTAGCATTTCTCCAATAATTATCTTAACTTACAAAATTATCGTTTTAAAAAAAAAAAAGTCAAAGACGAAACAAAAGATTGACTAACCATTCATCCAATTTTTTTCCGGCTGAAAATGGTAGCCACTTCTTTGCCACATCAGCATATCATTCGTCCATGGAAACGAAACTCCTTCTTCAGATTCTTCTAATCGGAAAACTTTTTCTGATACACCTTCCATTTTTCCTCTAGAAGTTACCGCCGGAATCACCTTCTCCGGCGACGGAGTACGGCGGTTTTCCGACGACAATGGCAGGTGGGTGTTCTGGCCGTTGAAAATGATCGCCATTAGAGAGAGGATTAGCATACATGAGAGGCTGATTACTGCGAGGCCTTTGATGGGTTTGTGGATTGGGGATTCGGGTTCGGGTCGGTTTTGGGTGGGTTGGAGGAGGGGTTGGTTGGTTTCCAGGTCATTTGGAGGAGAGTGGAGAGCATCCATTATAATTAGTCTGGTTTTAGAGAGAGAAAGATGGAGGAGAGAGAAAGTGGGATTAATTAAGAAAAAGAGGAGAGAGAGTTGTTTAAATAGGAGGAGAAGAGAGGAGGGTTAGTGGTGGAGTTGTCAAGACTGGATTTGTTAGGGAGATCCCAGAGTATGTTCCAAAAGGGGATCAAAAAGATCTATTGTGATTCTGTGTTAGAGTATCGGGGCGTGGTTTAGCGGTTCACTTAGATAGATTGATTTTTATGATGATAATCTAGAATAATTAATCTATGTTTACGAGTTTTTTTGTATGGTTGTGAAATATGAGTGAGATGGCAATTGATTTAATTCACACTCGCTCTTGATATGGAATCTGAACTTTAACTGTTTTAATCTCCACTTATAATGAACAACGTATTTGTAATGTGATGAATTAACTATCCTAATTAATTGTTAGTTTGTTACTAAAATCCGTTTGAAAAAGTTGTTAATTTGTTGCAACACCTAGGCTAAATTGCAATTGCCATCACTCATGCCCGCCACACCACTCTACAATCGTTTCCTTCACTTGAGCACCACTTCTTAACCGTCGTAGACAACCTCCTTCCTACAAATCTCTTCCAAAATATTATTTTTTCGACATAAATGATATTACTGCTATTTCTAAAAGTTCAACTCGTTTTGTATTTGAGTAATCGTAAATAAAAAAAAATGAGGTAATTAGTGATATTTATTTGGTTCTTAATAATCACAAAATTGACATATGTATAGTGTTTTAATAGTTGTGAGATTGAGATATAGAATAGATTCACGTAATCATGAGATTAGGTAGAGAAACTTTTTAGCTATATTATAATGAAAAAGTGAATTTACTACTCCGTATTTTCTAACGATTTTTTAATAAGAAAAATGTTGCTATTACACCGTTACTAATTTGGTTCTCATAATTTGACTTTAATGTTTTCAATATACAACTATACAAGCTCAACTATATTTTGTCATGACAAATCTAAACAAAATCTAAATGATTTATATTTTTATTAACATATTAGATAAATCATACAGTAAAAGACAATGAAGGAGAAGGAATGTAAATTAAAATAATGAAATTAAAGGAGTATTATTGAATTAATAATTCTGTAATATTTAAAACAATAATACATGGAAGATCAAGACATGTTTCAAAAAAAAAAAAAAAAAAAAAAAAAAGGAAGATCAAGAAGACAAAGAATAAAAGAAGAAGATCCCTTCACCTCCAATTATGTAGAAGAATTGTTGTTGATGTGATGAATGAAATGAAATTTAATTGAATTGTCCCAAGGTTGATGTGGGGCCATATCTCAATCTATTCATCCATTTGGCCATGTGTGAATTGAATTATAGAAGGTCTCACCCTCTCTCATATAATTGATTAATTTAATAATGTACATAGCCTTAAGGGCTATATATAGGCCTTTTTTGACAAATGGTTGTTGGCGGTTGGCTGTTGGCTGGTTCACTTAGCTTGTTTGACCAGCTGTAATGTTTGCCTGTTTATAATAGCTTTTGAAATTGGCTGTTTAAGCTGGTTGTTTATAAAAGTGTTTGGTAAATTAATTGTTGGTTGTTGGTTGTTTATTAGATAATTTGTGGGCCAACAAGCCAAAAGCCAACAAAAAAGCTACTCAAAGCAGCTTTTTCATTTTGGCTTAAAAACCAGCTTTTTCGCTGACTAAAAAGCCAATTATCAAACACATTTTTTTGTTATTTCAAAAAAAAAAAAAAAATCAAACACATTTTTTTTTTGTTGTCTGACCACCTAAAAAGCCAAAACCAAAAGCTAACCAAAAAGCCATTAAAAAGCCAATTACCAAACATGGCCATAAGTATTAAATTTTACACTAGAAAATCCTATAAAGTTATATATATATATATATATATATATATATATATATATATATATATATATATATATATATATATATATATATATATATACACACACACACACATATAAACACTAATTACACTAATTTACGCGTGTTTTTATCATAAATTTCTAATTTAACACAATTTTCAAAAATATATTTAATGCTTATATATAACTTTTAGGGCTACGTATAGCATTACTCTTTAATAATTAACGGACTACTATACTACTCTCTCCGTCCTTTTTTTACATTTCTGCTTTCCTTTTTGGGTATTCTAAAATTACATTCCTCCTTTCCTTTTTTAGTAAGTTTTTTTTTTCCAAATATCCCAAATTATTCCTCTTGTTCTGTTATGTAATTAATGATCACTCTTATTTTCTCACTCTTACTTTCTCATTCTCAATCCTAAATTTAGATGAATATGATTGGTTCTTGATTTTCTAATAGGAGCATGTTATTGGTCCTTTTTTTTTTTACAAAGGATTGATGACATGACATCATTAAATATTAATTTATCTTTGTTTTACTCAAAGACATCATTTAATGTTTTGTACTTCCCATTGTTATTTGTTTTATTCTTACTTGTTTTATTCTTAGTTCCTTAATTCTCGTGTAATTTTACAAACAGAAATGTAAAAAAGGGATGAAGGAGTACTTTTATTACGTACACAAGACGTAGTATCGTAGACTTGTAGTAAGACTAGTTACTACTCTGTATTGGAGTAAAGATTAAATTTTATTTTTGATATAATAAAAAAATGTTATTATTTATACTACTTCTGGTCCAAATTACTCGCAACTTTGGGGTATTATTTGTGAGATATAAAATATTCCAAAGTTGCGAGTAATTTGGACCGGAGGTAGTAAATGAAATAGAAGATCAGCCAAAACAATCATTTCCGATATGGAAGCAAGTATAACAAAGAATAACAATGGTAGATTAACCAACTAATTATTCAGTAAGAGTACTTGTTGTAACTTGTACAAACAACAGCTGCCAAAAAAAAATAAAAAATAAAATAAAATAAAAATAATAAAATAAAATAAAATAAATAATAATAATAAAAAAAAACTTGTACAAACAAGGTTAGGCAGGCGATGATTTTCTAATAAATTAAGATGATTTATATGGGCACATATTTCATTATTTGGCAACTAATTAGTTGTTTTAATTTGAAGATAACATGCATAAAAAATGAAATTTGACACTTCCCAATTGTCATTCAAACATTACAATATAGAGAGAGTTGCGTTTGAATGACATTCCGTTACTTAATTTGGAAAGTTGTTGGAAGGTTGAAACCCATCTCCATTTGCTATGAAATGGAGTGTTGTAGAGACTTGTACTCACACAACAAGAAAATGGCCTGTTTCCGACCGAAATTTTCCGTCGCTGAAGGCTCTAAATCCGTCGTAAATCATGTTTGCGACGGAATTCCGTCGTTGGTATCCGTCGTAAAACCTTTGTTAGGAAATTCATGAATTTTCGAGGAATATTCCGTCGGAAAGGTGTATTCCGACGGATTTTACGACCGAATTTTATCCGTCGCAGAACATATTGACTTTTTGGTTTATTCCGTCGCTAATTTGCGACGAAATTTTCCGTCGTTGTGCTGTCTACAACGACGGATATTTCCGTCGCAAACGTTAATTTCCGACCGAAATTGTCCGTCGCAAACAACATTTTACGACCGAATATTTTCGTCGCTGGTAGTGTAATTTGCGACGAACATTATTCCGTCGCTGGTTTACGACAGGACTTTCCGTCGGAAAGGGTGGTGAGTTCCGACGGATTTAACTCCAGTTTTCCGTCGCAAATTTAGTGCTTCCGACCAATATAATTCCGTCGGAAATTGCTTTTCCTTTCGAACAAAAATATTAACAAATATTATTATAATTTCGTATGTTCCTGCACCTAATACCTGTGATAATTAAAACTATTATCAAATTGCGAAAATATTAATAAATATTATTTTCTCAAAAGCTATATATATCCAAAAGCTACATAATATATAGTAAGTTTTACAAAAGCGGGAACATAATCAAACGCTACATAAAATCGATCAAATTAAGTGCTTGTCCATACTACACAAACCTAAGCTAAGCTAAAAAACTGCAGGGGTACCCTGGCTTGCTCCTCCATTACCCGAATCATCCCTAGGGTCTCGACGCTGAGGCTGAATGGTGGAACATGTGTCGGTGTTGTTGCCGAATCGACTTATGAAGTCATTCCACCTCTCCTCGGCTCTCCTCTCCATTTGGGCCACTTCAGCTCGAATTTGAGCTTGCATCTCAACATCCATTTCACTCCGGAGTTCACTGCGGATCTCACTACGAAGAGCCTCGACCCTATGCTCCATCTGATCCTGCATCTGAGAAACAACGGATGGTGTGTACTGTTGTGAAGACCTAGACACCCGACCCATCCGTTCGCCATAGTACAGCGATGCGCTTTCGCCAAGTCCCCCCACTCAACTCTTCTTGTTGCGACCACCCACAGTCTCCCAATACAACTCATTGGGACTCTTTTTAATCCCTTGGGTGGTGGCTTCTTCAACCTTCTTATGGTAGGACTCCTACAAGAAATACATTATACAATATATATGGTTTTAATAATTTACCAACAACATCAGTTACAAGTAAAGAAACATATAAGTGAAAATGGAATCAATAAACAATAAAAGAAGCATATTTCTAAGTTTAAGGGTCTTTATCCTCAAAATGAAGCCATTTCAAGCCTTTATGGCTTCTTACATGCCTATTTTCTATATTTCTTTACTTTTTAACTCACTCTTTGTCAAACCATCTCATATTTACATACTTATAACATATTATGGGTTAAAATCACAATAAAGAAGCATATTTCTAAGTTTAAGGGTCTTTATCCTCAAAATGAAGCCATTTCAAGCCTCTTACATGCCTATTTTCTATATTTCTTTACTTTTTAACTCATTCTTTGTCAAACCATCTCATATTTACATACTTATAACATATTATGGGTTAAAATCACAATAAAGAAGCATATTTCTAAGTTTAAGGGTCTTTATCCTCAAAATGAAGTCATTTCTAGCCTTTATGGCTTCTTACATGCCTATTTCCAACATTTCTTAACTTTTTAACTCATTCTTTGTCATGCCATCTCATATTTACATACTTATAACATATTATGGGTTTAAATCATAATAAAGAAGCATATTTCTAAGTTTAAGCCAACATAATAAGTAAACCATACAAAATTATATTAAAATTGTTACCGCTATGTTTTTGGATTTGACATTGGCAGGCACCATTCCTTTCCCAGGGACCTCCTTGAAGTGCGTCTTCATGAAAAGCTCATGTGCAGTAGGTAACTGCCCTTTGTTTTTCGCCGCCTTTGAATGTACATGCACAAAAACAAATAAAACTTGTCATTCCAATGTGAACCACAATTGTTACCTATTTACATGCCTTCTAAAGAAACTAACCATCCTTTTTGC